CCTGCATGTCTAGATATTTTAAAACATGACTATTTTAAAAACTCATTTAAAGAGGAAGTTATAACGGCAATAGAAAAAAATTGAGAGCAGAATAGCTACAAAAATATTGTCCAAAACTAGAGGAATTTATACCTTTGAATTCATTTATTACAAAACAAGAAAAATGAAAAATAATGATATACCCCAAACTCATAAAGTTCAACTCTAAAAATATAAAAGAGCACCAGAGCTAGATCAAAGAAAAAGGAAGCATTCTGGGAGAATCCATGAGCAATTAGAACTATCAACAAATTCAGCAAAGCTGCTCAGAAAACGAAGCCAATACCACACAGTAATCCAACCAAAAAATATACAGGACTTTTATAAAAAAATAGTTGAAAAGTTTATGATCCTAAATATGAATAGAAGAAAATGTGAATAAATAAAGGGAAAATTCTGTTGACATGCAGTATTTAACAGTGTCAGTTATCCCACAAGTTAACTTATAACTTGATAACAATTGGCTGGGCGCAGGCACTTATGCCTGTAATCCCAGCACTTTGGGAGGCCAAGGGGGATCACGAGGTCAGGAGTTCAAGACCAGCCTAGCCAACATAAGGAAACTCTGTCTCTAATAAAAATACAAAAAAATTAGCTGGGTGTGGTGGCAGGTGCCTGTAATCCCAGCTACTCAGGAGGCTGAGGCAGGAGAATTGCTTGAATCCAGGAGGCGGAGGTTGCAATGAGCGGAGATTGTACCACTGCACTCCAGCCTGGGTGACAGTGCAAGACACTATCTCCAAAAAAAAAAAAGAGGATTTTTTTTTTTTTTTTTTTTTTTTTTTTTGTGGATTGACAAGCTGATTCTAAAATTCATACAGAACAATAAATACCTACTATTATGTAAGTCAGTGTGAAAAAGAAAAGCAAAATGGGAAATCATCGGCCAGGTGCAGTAGCTCACGCCAGTAATCCCAGCACTTTGGGAGGCCAAGGTGGGAGGATCACCTGAGGTCAGGAGTTCGAGACCAGCCTGGCCAACATGGGGAAACCCTGTCTCTTCAAAAAATACAAAAAATTAGTCAGGCATGGTGGCAGGTGCCTATAATCCCAGCTACTCAAGAGGCTAAGGCTGGAGAATCGCTTGAACCTGGGAGGCAGAGGTTGCAGTGAGCCAAGATCGCCCCATTGCACTCCAGCCTGGGTAACAAAAGTGAAACAAGAAGAAAAAAAAATGGGCGTGGGGATCGCCCTACCCCAGGTCATTTGGCAAAAACACAGTAATGAAAACAGTGTGGTACTGGTACTGGAACAGGCAGACTGATGGAGTTGAATGGTAAGTCCAGAAACACACTGAAGTATGTATGAGGAGCTAGTTTTTGAGTGGTAGATTCACAAGTCAAGGAAAAAGATGGATTTTTTTTTTAATGTGTTGGTAGAAAACTGCTTTAGTGAAGGTATAGAGGGAGACAAAATTATATCTTTGCCTCACCCTATGTAAAAAAATCCAGAGAGATTAAAGACCTAAAGGTGAAAGCCAATAGATAAAAATCCAGGGTAACTTTGAGAATGTGGGATGGGACAAGATTTCTTCAAGTTCCAAAAAAAGGCCAGTTATAATGGAAAAGTAGATCGATCTGTTGATGTCAAAATGGCAGAGCACTGAGGATGAGTTGTTGCTCCTTAAGGATCGGTCCCTGTGACTTCATCGCCTGCTCCAAACTGACTTGGGGGGCAGTCACAGGCATGTGGTCTGGCTCCTGCACCTCGGCTCACTGGGAGTGAAGGCAGCTGCTGAGAGTCAGGCTGACCTTCAGGTCCCTAGGCAGGGTAGGGGACTTGCGGCCTCTTACTTTCTTGGACTGAATCTTTGCTGTCTTCAGCGGGGTCAGACTCATCAATGAAGAAGGCTGTTGGTGAGGAGCTTCATATGCAGGCATGGGTAATTGGGAGAGACCAGGACAGCTTAACCAGTGTGGGTCTTGCTCATTCTGTTGCTGCCTACACTTTATTTTTCTTTGTTTTGTTTTTGTTTTTTGTTTTTTGGTGGTTTTTTGAAGTGGAGACTCGCTCTATATGCCAGGCTGCAGTGCAGTGGTGTGATCTCAACTCACTACAACCCCTGCCTCCGGGGTTCAAGTGATTCTTCTGCCTCAGCCTCCTAAGTAGCTTGGATTACAGGCACGAGCCACCATGCCTGGCTAATGTTTGTATTTTTTAGTAGAGATGGAGTTTTGCCATGTTGATCAGGCTGGTCTCAAACTCCAGGGCTTAAGTGATCTACCTGCCTCGGCCTCCCAAAGTGCTGGGATTATAGGCATGAGCCACAGCTCCCGGCCTTGCTTCCTACATTTTCAAGATGCATATGGGTCACCCTGAGGCAAGGGGTGGGCTGGTTATTGATTCCCAACCCTGACTGAACTCCAGCATCATACCAGGAGCTTGAGAAAAGTAAGTTGGCGAGCCCCACCCTGACATACTCTGATTCAGTGGCATGAGGCGGCTGAGGAATCTTCATCTGACCAACTCCCAGGGGTGGATGGGGTTGGACCCACCAAGCAGGATCACCTTTCAGGGTCCAGAGATCAGAATTACTCAGCTCCTGAAGTCACAAAACCACCTGGGCCAGGGGTGTGGGGTGGGCATTGTGATGCCGGGGCTGGAAGAAGGACAGCTACTGGTGAGGCCAGCAGGCTTCTCTGAGATGCCCCCTCTTCCCACCTTAGCACTGACCCTGTACCAGAGTGATCTGTTAATCGCCGGCCTGCGAGTTCCGTGAGGGCAAGAACCGTGCTTCATTCATTCATTCCACAAGTATTTATTGAGGCCTTTATATGTTAGAAATAGGCTTTACTGGGGGTGAGGCTCAGTCAGTCGTCCTAGAGCTTCCAGTGTTGGGAGGTAGGCAGTAAGACCAGGCAGCTCTAGTAGAGTGTATTAAATGCTGCAGTAGAGAACTAGCAGGTGCCTCTCTTATCCCCAACTTGGGAGACCCAGAGAGGCTTCCTGCAAGTGAAGTCTAAGATAGTGATGAATGAGTGAGTAGGAAAGACTGTTTTGGATACACAGAATGGCACATGCAGGCCTTCGGTAGGAACAGAAAAGGTAAAGGTGGTTGGATTGAAAGGGCCCAGTGGGAGTGGGCAACGAGGCCATGTCAGCCAATGGGACAGTCCCTCCATTATTCCACCCACCTTCCGCTGTTCCCCCTTCCCTCACTTGAGCTGGGTCCCCTCTCTAGGCCCATGTGTAGGAGTTTTTCCTTTATTTACTGAGCAGTGTAATAGGAAGCAATGGAAGGGTCTTGCCTTCCATTTGCCTGGTTTCCAGCTAGGACCTGACCCAGGGTGGCTGCAGAGAATGTGTGCTGAGCAGGTGGCATCACCCACACTGAGCTGGATGGGCTGATCTGAGCTTCTGCCCACTCTCCCCACAATTCCTTCCCCCATCGATCTCCTTTGCCAGCTACACCTCTGGGAACCAGGCTGTGTTATCTCTTACTTACCTGGAAATATCGATTCCTCTGAGTTAGTATAGGCCACTGCCCAGAGCAAGGGAAACTGAGGCTGGAAGAATAGTATGGTATCCCAAGAGTCTCAGAAGCACTGGTCTCCTCTGACCAATCAAGGCTGTTCAAAACTGTAGTAGGAGAATTGAATTGCTCTTTGCCCTGCTTTGGGAATGGCTGTGATCCTGGGCCAGTGCTGTAGGCCAGGGCATGTGTGTGAGTCTTTAGGGCAACCCCAAAGCTGGCTCAGGACCTAGCACTTGGTAGGTGTGCAGTAAGGGTGTGAGCTGCAGGGGCCCGTCTACTCAGTCCCAGGACAATGACCCTTCTGAGCTTCCGGATAGGGAGGGCAGCACCTTTCCCCACCGTGGGTGGTCCCAGGCCCACTCTGAATCTGACCCCAAGCCAGCGCCTTGCTCAGGGGACTTGGGGCATAGCCATGGTGATGGCTGTGGCTGCCATTTTGGTGATCGGTGTTTTGTGCAGGTACCCTGTAGTGTGCACACCTACTCCTCTGTAAGAAACCCCTTGCGGAAATGAGAAGCTCAGCAGACAGAGGCAGAGGCTGAGACTCCTGGAGGGGCTAAGCACTCTCAGAATTATGTCACGCCCATGTCAGCCAACAGGACCGTCCTGCCGCTACTCCACCCGCCTTCCACTGTTCCGGCCTTCCACTGTTCCCGCCTCCTGCACTGGGGTTCCCCCAGCAAGTGGAGCTGGAGTGGCTAGGAATTGTGACCCCGTAGCTGGAAGCTACCGTGACTATAGGAAGGGCCTAAGGGGAAGGGAGGAGGCTTGGGAGGGGCTTCTGGGAGCCCAGGTGGGCAGAGGTGGGAGGAGCGCCCCATAGCACCTCGTTCCTTAGTTGTCCATGAAAACATCAAGCTAAGTGCTTATCACTGGGTGGTAGAAATCTCTAGAACTTTTTTCTTTTGGCTTAGCTCATTTTTACGTTTTCTAATTTTTCTAGAGACTGCATATTGTGTCATTGAAACGAATAAGGGGATGGGATTTGTAAGGAGTACCCCGAGTATTATCCTGGGGCGTCCAGGTTGGGCCCTGTGCTTCCCCAAGAGTGGGGATTTACTTGCGTGTACAAACAGGCAGTTTCCAGCCCTCCCTTTCCTCCTGCCTTCTCTGTCCTCTCCCACCTGGGCCTCCAGGCCTGGAGGCCTGTGCTGCCCACCACCGCAGGCTCAGGAACGCCCACGCACGCGCTGCGCGCCTCAGAGCTGGGCTATACTGCGGAATCGGTGCCAGCTCGTTGGCTCGTTGCCTGTTTATTTGCCGCCTGCCCCACCAGATGGTGCGCTGTTTGAGGGCAAGACTGGTTCTGAGTTGCCAGGGCTAGGCACCGACTGGGTGCGGAGAGCGCGCTGGTGACCCACGTGGAAGCAGTGGGAGGAAGGGTCAGGCGCGCAGGGGTGGAATGGGGAACCCGCCAGGCCGGCTGGCTTGGTGCCCAGGGGGTGTACGGCTTCAAGTCTAACTCCCCTCGGGGCTTCTTTCCTAGATCCACTTCCCGGACGTGGAGCGGGTCGAGTGGGCCAACAAGGTAAGGCCGCTGGCACGGCCAGACCCAGCCAGCCTCCCCCTCCCCGCGTCTGTCACCCCAGCAGCCTGATGGGGGCCTCGCGGCAGGCAGTTCCCTTGCCTGATGGGGGTAGGGATGCTCCCCTTCCCTCTTCTGTCACCAGAATGGCTTTCTTTTGTTAACGACAACAAAAAAGTACAATTCCCACTGGCCCACCAGGCCAGGAGCTGCACTTTCCTAGGGAGAGGGAGACATTGATTAGACAACAGCTCCTGGACATAGCCTGGTTTCCTGCCTAGATCCAACACCATTGCTGCGCAGTCTTGGGCAGATTGCCTAATGCCTCTGAGCTGGTTTCCTTATCCGTAAAATAGGAATAATTAGGGTCCTCACCCTGGCTCGATCCACTGACATCATTAGTGTAATTGCTGTTAGGTCACCCCTGGGAACTCCCTTTGGAGTCTGCTGCCATATGTCCCCAGGAGGCCCCTGTTGGATGATGACCCCTGGTCGAGTCCTCCCCAGCAGGAATCCCAACTTCACAGAGGAGGAACCAGAGACCTGCCCCTCCCTGATCTGCCCAGACCTGTCCCTAACCATGAGGGCTCCATGGCAGTCCCCACCTGAAGTCTCCTGACTGAGGAATTTTTCTAATACAAACCTTGTCTTTTGAGGAGGCTTAGCCCATAGCAGGGATGACTTAGGTATAAGAAAGGACTTCCTGATGGATGTTGATCCAAGATTGGTATTTTCATATTACCAGAAGTGTCATTGCTGAGTGCATCAGAAAGCATTCCCTGGCTGGGCCTAGTAGCTCACATCTGTGATCCCAACTCCTTGGGAGACCGAGGCAAGAGATTGCTTCAGCCCAAGAGTTCAAGGCCAGCCTGGGCAATGTAGCAAGGCTCCATCCCAAAAACAACAGTAACAAAAGAGAACAGAGAATGTTCTCAGCCTCTGGGTAAATCTGGAAGAAGCGGGTTGCCGCTTTAAGAGGAGCAACTGGATTTCCGAGGATTTGTGCAGGACCCAGTGCCTCTGGGGCAAACCTTGTGTGTTCCTCCTGCACTGTGTTAGCTGGTTCACAGAGCTCTGCCTGTGTTACGTCTTTCTTTCAGAAACACACAGAGGCCTCCACATGGCACTGGAGATAGAAGACTGTTGGGATATGAGGCTCCCACCTTCATCTTGGATGGGGGGACAGGGACAGTTGTGTAGATAAACCACATACTAGGGCACAGAGTGTGGCCTAACGAGCTTTATACACGGGAGGCACTTGGCCAGTGACAAACCAGCAAGACAGGAAGGTGAGACCTGACCCGAGAAAGAAGAACCTGGGGCTTGGAGCGGCTTTGCGAGATGGGAACAATGCGCCCTAAAGTCTCGCAGCCTTCAGTCTTCTCCAGTGATGGCTTTGGAAGGGCGCACAGAGGAAGGACATGAATCTTTAAACTGAAGCTCAAGCCCATAGGAAAGAAGAGAGAAACAGCCCCAGAGTTTGGGACCGGCTTACATAATTTAGGAGGACCCATCTCTACAAAAACATTAAAAAATAGCCAGGTGTGGTGGTGCACGCTTGTGGTCCCAGCCACCCAGGAGGCTGTGGTGGGAGATAACCTAAGCCTGGGAGGTCGAGGCTGCAGTGAGCTATCTGCAGTCCAGCCTGGGTGACAGAGTGAGACCTTGTCTCAAAGAAGAAAAAAGGAGGCCGGGCCCAGTGGCTCATGCCTGTAATTCCAGCACTTTGGGAAGCCAAGGCGGGCAGATCACTTGCAGCCAGGAGTTCAAGACCCCTGGGCAAATGTTGAAACCCCATCTCTACTAAAAATACAACAACAACGAAATGAACCGGATGTGGTGTCAGGCGCCTGTAATCCCAGCTGCTTGGGAGGCTGAGCCAGGAGAATCGCTTGAACCTAGGAGGGCGGAGGTTGCAGTGAGCCGAGATCATGCCACTGCAGTCTAGCGTGGGCGACAAGAGCGAAATTCTATCTCAAAAAAAAGAAAGATGACGGAGAAGCCTTGCCCCAAACAGAGCGTATCTGCTGGCCGGCCCTCCCCCATCCCCTGATTTCCACCCTCCTCCCTCCTCTCCGCCACCTTCCTTCTCCCCAGGTCCTGCGCTTAGTTCCCAGACCAGCACAGTGAGTCATTCTGCTGCAGAAATGGGGCAAAGGCTGCCTTTTCTGATTGCTAGAAATTAAATCCATAGGAAACAATTTCTCTTCTGTAATTTTTTTCTTAAACCTCTGGCATCTGCTACTTTTTTTTTTAAAACCACAATGTAGAATGAGATCATGTTTTTGCACAGAACTAAAGGGCTCCGTAATATTCAGTGTAGTGAATTAGTAGTTCATGGTGCTCTGCAAAATAGCACCAAATCTTGGGGTCCTGCTGCCTGCATGACAGTGGGAACCACAGCTGTAGTTATCGGATGTTTGATGGACAGACAGATGAACAGGTGAGCAGATGGGTGGGCAGCAGGCAGGTGAGTGCTGCAGCATAGGGACCCCCACCGTGAGACCAGGCTGCAGAGAATCAGGACCTTGTCTTATGCAGCTGTGGGTCTGCAGTGGGGGTACAGACCTGACTATCAAGGGCCTCTTCCCGTCTTCACAGATCATCTCTCAGACCTGGCCCTACCTCAGCATGATCATGGAAAGCAAGTTCCGGGAGAAACTTGAGCCCAAGATCCGGGAGAAGAGCGTCCACCTGAGGACCTTTACCTTCACCAAGCTCTACTTTGGACAGAAGGTGGGTGTGTCTTGGGAGGGTCAGCCAGGGCTGGCTGTGCAGTCTTTTCTCTGTCCCTGATCTTTCTCCCACTTAGGTCAGTCATATGACCGCAAAGATCCCACTGGACCTTACAGGAGTATATCTCCCCTTACCTGCATTTCCCAGCCTGTCAGCCTCGGTAGACGCCCTTCCCCCCATCCCTGCACCACCATCTCCCCAGGTTCCGAGGAAGTCTGGCTCAGAGGAAATGCGGGAAATATTTCTACTTTTCTTTTCTCCTTCCTTCCTTCCTTTCCTTCATTTCCTTTCTTTGATGGAGTCTTGCTCTGTCACCAGGCTGGAGTGCAGCGGCGTGATCTCAGCTCAGTGCAACTTCTGCCTCCCGGGCTCAAGTGATTCTCCTGCCTCAGCCTCCTAAGCAGCTAGGACTACAGGCATGCACCACCATGCCTGGCTTTTTTTTTTGTATTTTAGTAGAGATGAGGTTTCATCATGTTGGCCAGGATGGTCTCGATCTCCTGACCTCATGATCGGCCCGCCTCAGCCTCCAAAAGTGCTGGGATTACAGGCCTGAGCCACTGCACCCAGCCATTTCCACTTTTCTTAAGCAAAATTTGGAAGACGTGCCATGCTGGTAGCCAGATAGAAAGATGGAAATTAGTCGCTAACCTCGGTGCTGGTGAACACATGCTCATACTTTGGATAGTCAGTGCTGCCAAGCGCTTTATATTTTCTACGAATTGGCTGGTGTGTCAGTCAGTGTGACGAGTCCATGCTAGTTCTGTGAAGATCAGTAGGTGTCCTAGTATGAAATGGTCTGTGGCCAATGAAATTTGTATTGGCACACCTAACACCATGGTCCCTGTTCTAGACTGGGCTTCCCATTTCAGCCTTGGTGCCCTACTCCTCCTGCCTCAAAGTGCCCCCAGTGACTTGAGTCTTTTGATCATCCAGAATATATCCCCCAGGTAGAGACCACTGTGACCCAGTAAGTGAGAGGCACTGGGGACGAGCAGGTGTCCGAGTACAGTCCAGCCTGCTGAGAGCTCTCTGGCAGCCCTGCCTGGCTAGCCCTGGCGCAGGGGTGCATTAGGCAGGCCTGTGCCCTGGAGATTGGGGTTTCTGCCACTCAAACTGGCTTGTGCCAGCATCTGTTGGTTCGTGCGTTCTTTCCTTGTTTCATTCACCTGTGAGTTACTGAGCATGTGCTATGTGCTGGGCATCATGGAGTCGGGTGTGGCTGCACCCCTTCCTGTGGGAGGGACACATCGACCGGTGGATGACAACATGGCAGTGTATGCGTGCATGACGGCAGAGGAATGCGAGTTCAGAAATGGAGGGGTGGAGGGGCTGTGGGAGTCAGGGAAGACTTCCAGGAAGAGGTGATGTCTCTGTTGGCTTTTGAAGAATTCAGCAGGCTAAGAGCCAAGAGGCTTGCAGAGTGCTGTGTGCACAGCGGAGCCTGCTCAGCCAGGCTGACCTCTGGTGGTTGTGCCTATGGCAGGGGTCCCCAACTCTCAGTACCAGGCTGCACAGCACGAGGCCCGCAGCTGGGGCGAGCATTGCTGCCTAAGCTCCATCTCGTGCCAGATCAGCAGTGGCATTAGATTCTCACGGGAGCACAAATCTTATTGTGAACTGCGCATGTGAGGGATCTAGGCTGTGTGCTCCTTATGAGAATCTAATGCCTGATGTTCTGAGGTGGAACAGTTTCTTCCCAAAACCATTTCCCCCCAACCACCCCCCGTTTGTGGAAAAAGTGTCTTCCAAGAAACTGGACTCTGGTGCCAAAAAAGCTGGGGACTGTTGGTCTACGGGATGTAGAGTGCTGGCAGGCAATCCTAAGAAACGGTGTCTGCCACTTCAGGAGACCCTGCGGGGAAGCTGCTGGCCCACCACATGTCCCAGCCCTGCGGGAGAAACACCTGCCTCTCGATCCCGGCATCCAGCGCTCTTCATGTCCTGGTCCCTCCCTCCTCCCTTCTGCTCTCCCTTTCCCCACATATCCCCTCCTCTCCTTCGTGGGGTCACAGAGGACTCACCCCACCCTCCTGGGCTTGACCAGGACCCAGTGCACTCAGCACACCCCCTTTCTTCACATACCCATAAACATTAAAAACAATTTTTTTTTCCAGCTGCCACAAGTGTTCATTCACACCCATGAGTATGGCCAGCTTCCTCCAGTCCCCATGCCTGTGCCCAGTGCCACCTGTGCTGTGGTGCCAGTGACTTGACTTCTCTAAGCTCCAGTTTCCTGTAAAGGGAAAGGACCCACTTGTAAAGTTTGCTATGGGACATGAACAATGGCCCTGGCCGCAGGGCCGCTCTGTGTGGCTGTGTGAGTAGCGGCAGGAAGGGAGAGAGAGGAGGGGACACTTTCTAGGGAGGGAAGTCTCAGGGCTGCAGGAGAGATTTACGTGTCTGTGCCTTATCCTGGAAGTGTGGTGGTCATGCTTGGTGCTGGCAAAACCCAGTGCCAGGCAAAGGGCTGGCAGCTGTCCCCTGCTGCAAGAAGCCTGTGACCTAGCCCTTTTGGCATTTCTTCCAGTGCCCCAGGGTCAACGGTGTCAAGGCACACACTAACAAGTGCAACCGAAGACGTGTGACGGTGGACCTGCAGATATGGTGAGCCCTGCCACCTATGGGGCCGGGTATGGGCTTCAGGGGGTGCAGGGGATGCTCTTTGGGAACAGCCAGTTTGAAGATGGAGTAGCATATATACACTCTGACTTGGGATGTGGAACCCCTCACAGGACCCCCCCGCCCCAGCCTCTCCCGTCCCTTGGCACACTCTGGGTTCCAAGGCCCAGGCAGCAGAGCTTTCTTGGAAGCTGGGGCTGGGTCACTTGGAAGGTCAGACCAGCTGCCTCAGAGAGGATGTGTCTAGTGGGAGCAGGTGTGACAAGAAGATGTGAGGACTCATGGTGAGGCCCAGGGAGCTTCCAACACAGGCTGTGAGAGGTCAGCTGGAGACCTGGGTTCTGTGGCACCCCAGGAAAACAGAGAATGCAAAGACATGTAAGTGACTAGTTCAGGGGGTTGGGCAAGGACAGCTCTTTGAAATGAGGTTCATAGTGAGCATGAGTCAGGAAGAAGGGAGATTCAATCCAGGAAGTCATCCTGGAGTCGGAAGATTTGAATTGCTTTAAAAGACAAAGGACCAACGCCTGAGGATCTGAGTGTTGCCGTTCCTTTCCAGTGTCTCACTCCTTCCTTAACCTAGAGGCTGGCACTGAGAGCATGTTGGGAAGATAGGAGCCAGTTCTTAGGGCCACCAATCCCCATGTGGGGGCTGTCCCAAGTGTGTGGAGATGGTGACAGGCTGTTGGGTGCTCCCAGCCCCCGGGGCTCTGCCACGAGATCCTCGTAGGAATACTCGGCACATAGAGGTTGTGTGGCCTACCCAGCTGCCCAGGCAGTCCCTGGGGTCCCCGTCTCTCCTGTCCTGCTCACTCCTGCCCTTTCAAGAAGCACTTGGCCTTTGCGTGACTTGTGACATCCAGCCCCTCTGCCCAGGCCCTGCATATGTCTGCTGGCTGCCCTCTCCCTCCCGTGAGTCTCCTTCAGTGCTTTCCCAGGATCTGCTGATCTTTACCCTTGAGGGCACCTATTCTGGGCCCGCTGTGCCCATCACCTGGCGAGAGCCACTAGGTGGACTTGGGCTTCTGTGCTGAAGCCTGAGCCTTGTTATCTTTACCCACTTCCACCAGCCCCAGCAGCACCAGGAACAGTGGCTGGATGTAAGCAGTGGGGGCTGCTTCTGTGTCCCCATGAAAGACACCTGGGCAGAATGGGGCAGGGGGATGGCAGTGGTGGAGAGGTGGACAGTGTGTTTACCAAGAGCCCCTCCTTTTCACCTTTGGGGTGTCATGGGTGAGGGGGGTGCCCAGAGTCACTGCTCTCATGGTCAGAGATGGAGATATGCCTGGGATACCTGAATGCAGGGGCCCAAGGGGGCTGCCTCCTGGGGTCTGGGCTTGGGTCAGGGTCTGGGCAGAGCTGAGAAAGGCTGAGGCTACTAGGCCATGTGCCCAGTGCATAGAGCTCAGGGTTGGCAACTGGCTGCTGGCCTCAGGCTGTGTGATACTGGGCAAGTTTTCCAACCTCTCTGAGCAAGTGGACCTACCCATCCTCCCTACCTTCCATCTCCACCCCTCATTTCAGCTACGTCGGAGACTGTGAGATCAGCGTGGAGCTGCAGAAGATTCAGGCTGGTGTGAACGGGATCCAGGTGGGTGGAGCCTGGCAGGGCTGCCTCTGTTCCAGCCCCCAGGATGGGGATCAGGGAAGGGGGAAGCCGGCTCCTGCCAGAGTAGGTGGCAGAAGGTAGTGGTGACACTAAACACAGAGGCTGGTGACTACAGAGGAGCTGCAGGCCTGAGGTCATACGGCCAGGAAGTGGTGGCTGGTTTCACCAACCCACTGCTGTCCTCTAGAGACCCCCCAGCCTGATCGGTGACTGCAAAGGGGTTGGGGGAGGCTTTGGCTGCCTGGGAGAGGTGGTGTTCACAGAGAGAGCGGTAGAAAGCCACTGCTTAGAGACTGAGATGGACCCAGGAGGTGAAAATAACTCTCAGCCGGAGTAGAAAGCTGATTTGGGCCTGGAGATCATTCCTGGGTCCCTGCTGGCTGGGCCAGCCCAAAGCTTGGCAAAGGCTATAGGTCTCCCAGGCCAGCACACCAGTGGAAGGCAGTGGGGCCTGCTCGGGGACCCTTGGTAGCTGTCAAGGGGTGGCAGCTGTGTCCATGCCTCAGTACATTAAGTGTGGCTCCTGCTGTGAGAGCAGGCGGCCCGGGACAGGTGGTCCTGACGTGGGGCGGCATGGGCATGAAATGAGGCAGTAGATGGCTCAGCTGAGCCCAGCAAGCATGGGGAGAAAGGAGGCCCGAGCCCCTCACGGGCCCTCTGTGCCCATCCAGTTGCAGGGCACCCTGCGGGTCATCCTGGAGCCCCTACTAGTGGACAAGCCCTTCGTGGGAGCCGTGACTGTGTTCTTCCTTCAGAAACCGGTGAGTCCCAGAGACCACGGTAAGCCTGCTGCTCCCTAGGAGCAGGCACTGGTCTGCTGGGCCCTAGACACTGGGTTTGAGTCCAAGAATGGACATTGTCCAAGCCCACTGAGACCTGGGCAGTCACATTCCCTATCTCATTTAATCCTTAAGGCAGCTTGAGCTAGACTCTGCCCTCCCCAAGATGAGGCAGCTAAGCTCAGAGAGGGTCACACAGATGGTCTGAAGTGGAGCTGAGGCTCAAACCCAGAGCTTTCAAAGTCCAGGCCAGCCTGTGGCCATGAGGATGATCCCGCTCCTGTGGGAAGCAGATGTGGCCCGGCCCCATCCTGAGCTAGGCCTGGGCCCTCAATACTGCTAGATGCCTGAGCTGGGCTGGGAGGTGGCCTCTCCTGCCTGGCACCCTGGCAAAGGGTGCTTGGCCTGCTTCCCCCCCAACTCCCATCCTGGCAGGCTGGGTTCTCCATTCACGTGGGTGTGAGTCTCTTGGCAGGGGGTTCTCAGCCCTGGCCTCCCAGACCTTTCCAGCCTAATAGCCTCCCTCTGCCCCTGAAGCACCTGCAGATCAACTGGACAGGCCTGACCAACCTGCTGGATGCGCCGGGAATCAAGTAGGTGCCTGGGAGAGCCTCGTGGGAGATCCTAAGTTTGGAGGCCTCTAGGGCTCTGCAGCCAGTGACAGGAGCCGTGTAATGGCAGTGCCTTCCCTCCTGGCACTCTCTGCAGAGGGGGAAGCATTGGTCTGTTTGGAGTGACAGTGGGAGGCTAACAGTGTTGTGTGGCTTCTGTGGGTGGGCACTGTGCCCAGTACCCCCCCATACACACCACACACTATACCACATACACCACATACACACACACACAGGAACACACACACACCACACACACCCATCACTACACACCACACACCACACACCCACACACCACACACACACCCCACATGCACCACCCACACACAATCACTACACACCACACACACCACACACCACACACTCACACACCACACACACACCCCACATACACCCCATACACACACCACACACCACATATGCCACACACACACCACACACCACATACACACACCACACACCCCACATGCACTACATACACACACCACACACACTCCATCACTACACACCACACACCACATGCACACACCACACACCACACATAACACACATCACACACCATGTACACACTACACACCACGTACACACACACCACACAGACACATCACATACACCACATATACACACATCCCCACACACCCCACACACCCCCACCAAACACACACACACACACCCCCACCACACACCACACACCACACACACACCGCACACCACATACCACACACACCACACAGTACACACACCACACATCTCACACACACATCCACACACACCACACATCCCCCTCACACACAGAACACACACATCACACATCACATACACCACATACCACGCCCACACACTACCTACATACCACACACACACCACACATCCACACACACCACATATACACATCCACACCACATATATACACCACACACCACATACACACCACACCACATACACACTACACACCACACACACCCCCATCACACATCACAAACACACACATACACCCCCCACACACACCCCCACCACACACACTGAACACACCACACCACACCACACACCACATATACACACTACACACATCTCAGACACATACCACACACACACATCCACACACACTACATACCAGATACACACCACACCCCCCCACACTACACACATCACACACACACACCACATACACACCACACATCCACACCATAACACAAACACACATACACCCACCCACCACACACATATGCCACACATCACATACACACACACACACCCGCGGAGTGGGCAAGAAGTGCTTTGCCGAACATTGGGATGACGTTCAGGTACCTGTCCTGGTGCAGGGGGCAAGTGGCTCTGATCTGCTGAGGTGTGTGGTCCGAGGGGAGGCTGTGTGGCTCTTGAACCAGAGGCAGCCAGCTCCTGGCTCTGTCACTTAGCAGCTGGGTGACTGTGGGAAGTGGGTTCACCTCTCCGGGCTCTTCCTCAGTAAAAGGGGAGCCTGGATGCTCTGTCTTGGGTCCCTGGGAGGACACTCAGGTATGTGGAGGCAGCACATAGGGTGTGGACATAGGAGTGTCCTCCTTTCTTTCTTACTCCATCCCTCCCCAAACCAAGTGGGTGGTGAGAAGCCTATGTGACTTCCCCTGACCATGGTCACAAACATAGGCATGGAAGGGGCACTGTCACAGCAGAGGTCAGTGAGGAGGAGGTGGTCCTGGAGATCTCACCATCTGGGGGCAAGTGAAGGCTGCTCACAGAGCCCCAGGCCCCTTAAAGGAGAAGAGAAGGGCACCAGCCCCACTGGACACACCTCCCCAGGAGGAAGGGACACTTGAGACTGGCAAGGGCTGGCACCCGCTGGCTCGCCAGGCTCAGGAGAGGCCCGCTGACTCACTCACTGACATCTGCATGGATCTCACCCACTCTGGACAGAGAATCAGGCATGTGTTCTTTTATTCAAAAAGTATTTACTGGCATTTACAACCATGCCAGCCCTGTTTCAGGCACAATCCCTGTCCCCCAGTACCAGGAAGTGGAGTCAGGCAGTGAACAAAGAGAACATGAGTGATGCCAAGGAGGAGGGCTCTCATGGCACTTACTGTGGACTAGATGCTGCTCTCAGCACCTTACCCAGATGCCCCCAGCCCCACAACAACCCCAGGAGTACCCATTATTAGCCCCAGGTTAGAGGTGAGGATGCTGAGGTCCAGAGAGGTTAGAGACTTGCCAAGGCCATACAGCTAGTGGGTGGTGGAGCTGAGATTCTAACACAGGCTTCAGCCTTGCTCTTAGCCACTGTGCTGTGTGACCTCCAAGAACAAAACAGCCTGGAAGCAGAGGGAGTTGGGGATGTGTAGGTGGGAGGCCTGCTATTGAGACACAATGTCAGGGGCTGTCACGATGTATAGGCACTCCCACTGCTACCCAGGTAAGCCGGTAGCAATTCTCCAGGTGGGGCCCATCCTGCCAAGCTGGGCTCCTGGTTCCTGCTAGGCATGGAGTGGCAGGTGGCATGGGGAGGCGGTGCCACCCCTCCACAGCTGGTCCTGCCTGTGTCCAGTGAGGTGTCAGACAGCCTGCTGGAGGACCTCATTGCTGCCCACCTGGTGCTGCCCAACCGTGTGACTGTGCCTGTGAAGAAGGGGCTGGACCTGACCAACCTGCGCTTCCCTCTGCCCTGCGTGAGTACCCAGTACCAGCCACAGAGCAGCTGGGGGGTGCTGACACCTCACATGCATTCTCAGATGGTAATCCTTATTTCTGCCCACTAAGGGCACAGCATCCCCACTTTTTTAGGGAGGAGACTGAAGCTCAGGAAGGTTGAATGACTTGCCCAAAATCACCCATCTAAGAAGGAGCAGAGCCCAGGGTGGCATTCTTTCTGGGCTCCTGGTCCTCCTGTGTGGCTTCTGTTGGAGACTTTTGGGGTCAGTCAGCCCCATGAAACTTGGAAGCTCCTATCCTCCCTTCAGGGAGGCAAGGCTCCCCTGACTCCGTCAGTTTGCTTCTGGGAAGAATATTTGGGTCTACTGGGAAGGAGAAGTCTTAATTGAGCCAGGACATGGCTTCCTTGAGTGCTAAGCCCCACTGTCCCTGGCATCCTCAGCTCATCTCAGGAGGCCCCTGAGGATAACCGTGTGGTCTCCCTAAAGAAAAGTGCCCTTGGTGTGTGTGGGCCTGAGCCCCTTGGGGCTGGGAGTCAGGGCCTCAGGAAAGGGGAAAGTGCCCATTTTTACCATCAGCACCAGGTGGGAGGCATCGCCTTCTCACACTCGGCCTGATGCATGCTGCGCCTCACACCTGCGCCACACAGGCAAGGCCCAGGAGGACACAAGCCTGCTGGGAGGCAGCACAAATATCCTCTCAGCCTTCACATGCGGTGCAGTGGCTTTACCTCACACCAGTGCTTGACAGTCCCAGAGTAATGGGATAGACACCATCACCCACGTCGTCATTACTAAAGACGTTTTTTTCTTGGGTTGTATCCCACTTGGGATACTGTAAATTTGATACTGTCAAATTTACTGCGTTTTAAACCTGCTTGGCATAGTTTCTCTGTGTGTGTGTCACAACTGGCCCTGAATATTACGTTGACTTGTTTCATTCTCTTCTCCATTTTTAGGGTTGTTTTTTTTTTTTTACCTTAACTTCCTTTTACAGTTAATGTAAAGTAGTTGTACATTTCCAAAGTCCAATTAAAAACCAAATTACATTTTAAGAAGTCTGGATTCTATACCTTGTTCCCTCCACCTCCTCCCCACCCTTCATTTATAAGTAATGGTTTATCCTTCCATTTTATTGATTGGTTGATGGGGTCTTGCTCTGTTGCCTAGGTAAGCTGGAACGCAGTGGCACAATCACAGCTCACTGCAGCCTCCACCTCTTGGGCTCAAGCAGTCCTCCCACCTCAGCCTTCTGAGTAGCTGAGACTACAGGTGTGCACCACCACACCTGGCTAATTTTTGTATTTTTTTTTTATAGATACAGGGTTTTGCCATGTTGGCCAGGCTGATCTCAAACTCCTGGGCTCAAGTGATCCGCCCACCTCAGCCTCTCAAAGTGCTGGGATTACAAGCATGAGCCACCACACCCAACCTTTGTTACTCAATATGAACAAATACATATTTGCTTATATTCAAATTCTCCCTTTCTTTGATAGATGGCAGCATAGTACAGTTTCCCCCAGCGTGTTTTTGTTGGTTTTTTTGAGATGAAGTCTTGCTGTTGCCCAGGCTGGAGTGCAGTGGCGCAAACTTGGCTCACTGCAACCTCGGCCTCCCGGGTTCAAGCGATTCTCCAGCCTCAGCATCCTGAGTAGCTGGGACGACAGGCATGCGCCACCGAGCCTGGCTAATTTTTGTATTTTTAGTAGCGACCAGGTTTCACCATGTTGGTGAGGCTGGTCTAGAACTCCTGACCTCAGGTGATCCGCCCACCCCGGCCTCCCAAAGTGCTGGGACTACAGGCATGAGCACTGCATCTGGCCCTCAGTATGCTTTTAACACCGAGTATGTGATGCGGATCACACCGTGACAGTGTAGATTAGAGATCTTCCATGTTCTTTTTAAGAGCTGCAAAGTACTTCACTATGGGAATGTATTGAAGTTTTATTCGACACAGTAACTATTGATGGACCATTATGTTGTGTTGGGTCTTTTGCTATTACAAATAGTAGCGTAATGAATAGCCTTGCATGCATGTCTTTTTAGATTTTTGCTAGTATGCCCTTGGAATAGATTCCTAGAAATGAGATTTCTGGGTAAAGAGTAAATGCATGTGTGTTTACTGATATTAAAAAAAAATTCTAGGAAGGAGATACATCTCAAAGCACATGAACTACACCTATCCTAATTCTTGTGCCCCTGTCTTTGTTAACAGAGTCATATTCCTTTCCTTTTAAACATCTATCCATTTAAGTCTTTCCTGTAGCATAGCCCAGAGTGTGGTGGAGATGAGGCTCAGTGCTGGGGTGTTTAGGAGTGCAAGGACCTACTGTCAGCAGCTGGCAGTGCCCCGGGGGCCAGGAGAAGGGATGCTAGGACTCAGTCTATATGTAGGACACACAACACAGGGGGCTGGAGTAAAGGGGAAGCCTCATTAGGTGTCATGATCGTTGGCACAGGAGGGAGACCAATAGCTGCAGCTTAATAAGCCATTCATGTGGCAGTTTGGAGGCAGGGAGTGGGGAGGCCAGGGATATGGGCAGGGAATACTGGTGGAGAGAGCCCTGCCATCGCTTGCTGTGTGGCCTTGGCCAGGTCACTGTCATATCAGGCTTCTATCTCCCAGTCCAGACCATGGAGGGGCAATATGGGGGCAGCAGTGATCTCTGATGGCTTTAGTTCTGATACTCCAGGACTTGGGGGCCCTAGGAGGCAGGTGGTAGCCCTGGGCTTGGGCTTTTTCCAGGGGGTGATCAGAGTGCACTTGCTGGAGGCAGAGAAGCTGGCCCAGAAGGACAACTTCCTGGGGCTCCGAGGCAAGTCAGATCCCTACGCCAAGGTGAGCATTGGCCTGCAGCATTTCCGGAGTAGGACCATCTACAGGAACCTGGATCCCACCTGGAATGAGGTGTTTGAGGTAAGGGTCTCCTTGGTTGCCCCTGGCATCCCTTGATCCCTCTAGCCTTCACTCTGGATCAAGCCAGGCAGAGGCAAGGGAGGGCCTTTCCCTTGTGGCTCTCACATACCGAGGGGCAACCCTAGGCGGGGAGTGAGCCTTGGAGACAGGCAGGTCTTTGGAATTCCCACTCCCCTATCTACCAGGCTTCCAGAGTGGGCTATTCTGGCTCGACTACAGGGCCAGCCCGAAGACAAATTCCTACCTCTTTTCTCTTTCCAACTGTGTTACAAATTTTCAAATCAAAGAGAAACAACCTTAGAGACATTTCTGCTCCACTCCTCAGCCTCCCCTGTCAGAGCCAAATACCAGGAGCCTGAAATTCTTAAGTTCAATCATGATCCCTACTATTTGAAGAGTGGGACCCACAGCCTGTTTAGGCCCCCCAGATTACATGCTCCAGGAGAGCCACATCCTAGGTGACCCCTTTCAACTTCCCCTCCCAATATACCCTCGGTTGCTGTGTTACATTTGGGGTGAGGCAATGAAAGCAGGGGTGATAAAGGGCAGCTTGGGGCTTCCTGGTATTGCAGACCTATGGGGGCCAGGAGAATGTGATGGACACATGCTCTGGATGCTGCACGGCCTATACAGAACAAACAGCAGCCACTGTCCCCTAGACATCCGCTCTGCCGTGGCCTTGCACATGTTTTCTCTCATCTTCTCTTCCCCCCTGCAGGGGAGGGGCCTCACTCCCTTCTTATGGGTGGGGTTCTCCAGGCACTGAGGAGGTCAGGAATCTGCAAGCATTCCAAGCTACGATTTGGCTCCCCTTAGATCCTACGTAAGGTCGACTGTCGTCTGCAGGTCATGACACCCCTCTTTCCTTCCAGTTCATGGTGTATGAAGTCCCTGGGCAGGACCTGGAGGTAGACCTGTATGATGAGGATACTGACAGGGATGACTTCCTGGGCAGGTGAGGAGGAGGGCGCACAGCTGGGCCTGGAGGCAGCCTTCTGTTCCTGGGGGTGCTGGCTGGGCCTTGGGACATAGATACCCTGCTTCTACCACTTAATGACTAGGAACCCTCTCTGGTCACCCTGACATGGTGACTGTGCCAGGCAACCTGCCTCACCATTCTATGCCTACCACAAACCTTCCCAGATGTCTCCCAAGTGCCCAGCCCTGACCTAGGCCCTGGGGGGCACAGAGAGGACCACAAGGTTTGTATCCCATGGCTCTGCTTTCTGCCTTCATGATAATGGACCAAGTCCCCCTGTGGAGTAGTGGATAAGGCTGGCATGGATGGCCAGATGCCCAGTCCCAAGGAACGCTGGGCCATGTTATAGCGGGTAGAACCCAGCCCCTTCAGGGGTATGGGATGATGAAAATGGCCAGAGTGGGACTGGCTATCAAAATTTCACTTACGTGTATTTTGGTCCAGCAGTCCTACTTCCAGGATCTCCTCTAAAAGCCCTACTATCTAAAATGTTTATTGCAAAACTATCCATAGAAGAAAAACAACACCCCCATCCCCCCAAATGAATATCTTTTTTTTTTTTTTTTTTTTGAGACAGAGTTTCGCTCTTGTTACCCAGGCTGGAGTGCAATGGCACGATCTCGGCTCACCGCAACCTCCGCCTCCTGGGTTCAGGCAATTCTCCTGCCTCAGCCTCCTGATAGCTGGGATTACAGGCACGTGACACCATGCCCAGCTAATTTTTTTTCTATTTCTAGTAGGGACGGGGTTTCACCATGTTGACCAGGATGGTCTCGATCTCTTGACCTCATGATCTACCCGCCTCAGCCTCCCAAAGTGCTGGGATTACAGGCTTGAGCCACCGTGCCTGGCCCCCCAAATGAATATCTAATCTCAAGAGGACATTGGCTGAATGTTTGAATAAATTTTTCATTGCCAAACTAGAGAATATTCTGCAGCTCTGAAAAACAAGTAGAATCTGTGTATTAACCTGGAGGACACCCATTATGAAGTGGGGGAGAGCAGCTGAGCATAACATGTCATGAGTCATCATCTGGGAGAGGAACCCTGAATGGAGTATTTTGCATGTGTTCATGTGAGCAGAGAAAGGCTGGCTGTTACACCGCTTATCTCAGATGAGGAAGCAGAAAAGGCAGGTTTACTCAAATTTTCAGATTCCTGTATTGTTTAGCTTGTTTCCATGATCATGTAATTTGGAAAAGTAGAAACAAAACAAACTGGGAGGGGCACAGTCTGACAGCTTAAGAAACAAGTAGGATCTATGTGTATTAGCCTGGATGTTAATACTCATAGATTCACCACCAGATGTTGCTTATTTTTTATTATCTTAATGAAAACAGTTGCAATTTTTGTAATGTTGCAGATTAGAAGTGTGGCTTGTGGGTCATGCTTTATTAATAACCAATTTCAGGTGTATTTTGAGCTTAAGCACATTTCTTACAGTTATATTGAATTACATTTTCCCCTCTGGCCATCAGGACCTTCTGGTTGGGCTTGGCTCAGGGTGAGACAGGGGCAAGTTAAGGTGTGGGTGTTACCTCCTCACACACACACATGCTGTACTGGTCCATATTTTGTTGCTATAAGGGATACTCGAGGTCAGGTAATTTATAAGGAAAAGAGAGTTGTCTGGCTCATGGTTCTGCAGGTTTACTCATGGCAGAAGGTGAAGGGGGACAGGTATGTCACAGGTATAGCAAGAGAAGGGGGATGTCCCAGCTTCTTTTTAACAACCAGATCTTGCATGAGCTCATTCCTTGGGGAGGGCACCAAGCCATTCATGAGGGATCTGCCCCCATGACCCAAACACTTCTCACTAGGTACCCCCAACCTTTAACATTGGGGATCACATTTCAACTTGAGATTTGGAGGGGACAGACATCCTAACTACATTACATGCCAACAATACTTATCCCTTGCAGGGTACCTGGGGTAGTTTTGGAAATGAAGGGGCATTTGGGGTTATTAACATGACTGAGAGGTGGTGCCTCTGGCATTTAGAGGGCACAGGACCAGAAGGCCAAATTCCTGCAATGCATGGGTAGTTTTGCACAATGAAGAATCATCCCACTCAAAATGCCAGTTGCACTGTCATTGAGAAATCCAGAAGTGATGTGTCCAACAGCCTCTGCTTGTCCCTTCTGGGGATAGGAGCACCCTGCCTCACCAGGTAGCACACCCAATGGGAGCAGCCCTGACGGTAGGTAGTCTTTCCTTCAATTGAGCTGACACTGGTTCCCCACTGGTTCCTTGGGGTAAGATCCTCTGTCTTAATGGCCTCACTCAGATAATTGAAAACAGAGTCCAGACTGGGCCTCCATGCCCTCTGGTTCTTTCTTCCTCTGCACTGACCCAATCAATCCCCTCTCTCTATATATTCCAGCCTGCAGATCTGCCTTGGAGATGTCATGACCAACAGAGTGGTGGATGAGGTACCGTGAGTGCTTGTAACCCCTGGGGGTTTCAAGGTAGCCCTTTCCTGTGGACAGCTCCAGTAGGTTGCCTCAGCCCGGCTATTCTTATGCTGTGGTCCCCCTCTGTGCTAGGCTGCACACGTCCATCCTCAGGGGCAAGAGCTGGGTGAGGCACAGAGATGGCTCCAGGGAACACCCCAGGGTATTCTCCAGGGCCTTCTGGTTGTAAGAAGTTTCCCTGGAAAATGCCCACAGACTAAGGACCCCAGCAGGGGACAGTCACATTACAGAGGAGGGCAGGCTGGGCCTGCGTTTTTCTTAATCCCACAGTGTAGCACCTCTTTTTATAAGCACATCTCCCAGTCCCTCTGAGCCCAAAGCTGGTCCACCTTTTCCCTGGATTCCCTACTAGGGTCCCACCAGGTCCCAGGACCAAGCTGCCCAAAGAGCATCAGTAGCATCTCCCTGCCCTTTCCCTAAGCTTTCTGCCCCCATCCCACAGTGGTTCGTCCTGAATGACACAACCAGCGGGCGGCTGCACCTGCGGCTGGAGTGGCTTTCACTGCTCACTGACCAGGAACCTCTGACGGAGGTGAGTGCAAACTGTCAAGGGCTCCCTAGCAGAAAGGTGGAGGAGCACATGTGCCAGCTGTGTGCAGGTGAAGGAAGGGAGGGAGATGATGCCCCCTGTTCTTGCTTACCTCCTGGAGAACTGTGACTCAGCCTGTCTCCACACAGGGCAGCTTCTGATGGCTTTCAGCAAATGTCCTCTGAGCATCATCTTTAGATGGTGGGGTCCTTAGAACTCTGTGTCAATGTCTGTCCTCCCAGTTCATAGGGAAATCCACTCAGTGTCTAATTTGAATCTGCCATGCACCTGTCGCATTCTTAACCTCAACAGAAAGCTAGGTTGTGAGAGGTCTTCCGGCAGCTAGACTGGAGTGTGAAGACTAGTTGGCTCTCTTCCGCCATGAGTAGGCTTTCTCTCCTGCTACTGGGAGTACTCAGTGAGGTTCTGCGTCTGTTTGCAGGAACATGGTGGCCTTTCCACTGCCATTCTCATTGTCTTCTTGGAGAGTGCCTGCAACTTGCCGGTGAGTGGTGACATGTCCATAGTGTCACACACATGCAACGAAAGTGCCCATCACTTTCAAATGGTCCTGTGTTGCTTTAACCCCATTATTCCTGTGCTGCAGAGAAACCCTTTTGACTACCTGAATGGCGAATATCGAGCCAAAAAACTCTCCAGGTTTGCCAGAGTGAGTGAGTATATGGCTGAAAACTCCAGGGAGGGCAAAACACAGCTTCTCTCCCCAGAGTAACCACAACCCTGTGTCTTCTGGGTCACAGTCTGCACACACGGCCTGGGGATAAAAGAGGTGCTGACTGTGGAGTCTGCTGTGTGCCAGGCACTAGGCTTGGTAACTCATCCCCCACATTTGTTATCCCTGAGTCTCACAATGACTGTGTCATTCATGTTTATTACCATTTTATGGGTCACACAGCTAAGAGCAGAAGCCAAAACTTGATTCCACTGTTTCCATAGCCCCAGGGAACAAGAGCCTATTCCCCAGTCAGGCCCAGCTCTGGTTTCTGATGTTTTAATTTGAAACTGCATTCTGGGGTCAGTCCTGTCCTGGGGCTTGCATAGTAATGACAGCCCAGGGGGAATGGGGCACCAGAGTAACTTTCTCTCAAAATGAAGTAATTGGCTGGCCTCAGTTCCCCAGATGCTCCTGGTGGGTGGGGGTAGGACTGTCTCAAGCTGATACTGACTATGCCACCTTCACTGTTAATGGATTTGATTCTTCACAGAACAAGGTCAGCAGAGACCCTTCTTCCTATGTCAAACTATCAGTAGGCAAGAAGACACATACAAGTAAGGTAAGACAGCTTGGTGTGTAGCCCCAGGGTAAGGAAACAGGGACCCAGCCTTTCTCAGAAAGAGGCAAAAGGGAAGGGAATTAACTTACGGTGAATGCCTAGTTGGCACTTGATTTTATTTAGTCTTCAGAATAACCTCACAAAATAGTTTCATAATTCAAGAATCTAAGGATCGGAGATAAATGACTTGACCAAGGGCACAAAGCAGAACTAGGGTTCAAGCTTGGGCATGGTTCTGAAGCTGTGTCCTTTCTCCCAATCATGAATTTTCTCAGTTCAGCAGCAGAAATCCTGTTGCCTCTCCTCTCCTTAAGTGAGCTCTAAAACCAGGATGATTTTCAGCTGCCCTGTAAAACTTCCCAGCAAACCACTCCCTGCCCTTGAGTGTGGTTGTCCTGTCCTGGTGCCTCCCACTAGCTGTAGCATGTGTGGGTCTGATCCCAGGGCATATAGGTAAGATTCCTAATGTACTTGGTGGCCAGAGTGAGAGCAGAGGGTGCTGGTATCCAGCTCTGCCCAACCTAACCCTTCAATGATCTCTCCCTCTTCTGTTCCCAGACCTGTCCCCACAGCAAGGACCCTGTGTGGAGCCAGGTGTTCTCCTTCTTTGTGCACAGTGTGGCCACTGAGCAGCTCCATCTGAAGGTTTGCTGGAAGATGGGCGCTTGAAACAGAGTTAAGAGGTTTCTAAGCCAGGTGGGGTGGGGAGCTTGAAGTGCACCTTGAGCAGGTTCTCCTGGCAGTATTTAAAGTCAGCTGCTTGTATGTGAGAGGGGTCACTACATACAAGTAGTAGTGTATGTAGTGAGGCTAGTGCCTGAGGTCATAGTATAGAGGGATGTGGAAGGATAAACCCTCAAGCCCCTTGATTTTCCCTGCAAAAGGGTCTTCATATTTGCTACACAGCATCCAGAATATCCTGTGCTGGAATCTACACAGGACATTAATGGTACACACACACACACACACTTCATTTAATCTTCACAAAAGATCTGTAGAATGAGCAAAGAGAGGCAAAAACAATGTCTTGTCCAAGATCTCAATACCAACAAGTGATGGAACTGAGATATTTTGGGGCCCTGAGCCCTGCCTGGGGAGCAGCACAGCTCATCAGTCCCCAAAGCCCACTGGCTCTGGGCATTTAACGGACTAGCTCATCCATATCATAATTGTCACTGTCTTGCCTGACAGAAGGCAAGGATCAGGAGTGGCCTGATCCCATTCCAGTTTTCAGAATAGGAACAGATGCCCATAGAAGCACAGTACAGACTGAAGTACACCCAAACTTGGTTGGGGCCCAGATACGAGTAGTGGTGTGGTGGGGCTTAGTGATCCTCTTGTTTTGTGACTGGCCCACTGCCTAGGTGCTTGATGATGACCAGGAGTATGCTCTGGGAATGCTGGAGGTCCCCCTGTGCCAGATCCTCCCCTATGCTGACCTAACTCTTGAGCAGCGCTTTCAGCTGGACCACTCAGGCCTGGACAGCCTCATCTCCATGAGGCTGGTACTTCGGGTAAATCTCTCCTGCCCCCTAGAGCTCTGGCAATGAAGCAGGGTGAACTGTCCCAGCACTAAACACCTGCTGTGTAACTGGAAGAAGCCAGGAGATGGATTCATGTTTTTCATCAATTTTGGAATACTGAATGGGAGCAAGTCAATGTTTGAAGATATACTGGTTCTTCAAATACTTCCTCTGCTCCATTCTTTTAAAATTCCTCTTTCTAGAATTTTTATAATGTACCTTCTTATTTATCCTCCATGCCTCTTGACCTCACCTTTATATTTACCATCTCTGTAGTCAGGGTGGTACATTCTAATTCCCTCAGAGCTGTCTTCCAGACCACTAATTCTTTCTTTGGCTGTGCCTAGTTTGTGGTTTAACCTGTTCATGGTTTTTTTAACGATGATTTTTCATTTCTATCTTTATCTTTTCCAAATCTACTTGGTATTTTCTCATAGAATTTTATTATCTTCTCATGTTTATATTCATCTTTGGTCATTTGAAAATATGTAACAATAGGTTGGGTGTGGTGGCTCATGCCTGTAATCTCAGCACTTTGGGAGGCCAAGGCAGGTGGATCATCTGAGGCCAGGAGTTTGAGACCAGCCTGGCCAACATGATGAAACCCCATCTCTACTAAAAATACAAAAATTAGTTGGGTGGTAGTGGTGCCGCCCTGTAATCCCAGCTACTGAGGAGGCTGAGACAGGAGAATTGCTTTGGGAGATTGAGGTTGTAGTGAGCTGAGATTGCACCACTGCACTCCAGTCTGGGCAGAATGAGACCCTGTCTCAAAAAGAAAGTATGTTACAATGTATTAATATGTATGTTCTATTATTTGAAGATCTTAGGAGTTAAATTTTGATGTTTGTCTGTTGATGCTTTTTTTTTTTTTTTTTTTTTTGAGACAGTTTTGCTCTGTCACCCAGGCTGGAATGCAGTGACGCAATCTTAGCTCACTGCAACCTCTGCCTCCCAGCTTTAAGCAATTCTTCTGCCTCAGTCTCCTGAGTAGCTGGGACTACAGGTGCGTGCCACCACGCCTGGCTAATTTGTGTATTATTAATAGAGATGGGGTTTCACCATATTAGCTAGGCTGGTCTCAAACTCCTGACCTTGTGATCCACCTCCCAAAGTGCTGGGATTAGAGGTGGGAGCCACCGTGCCTGACCTGTTGATGCTTTTTGATGGTGACTCATTTCTGTTTTATAACTTGGATTGCAAACATGTGTTCAGTGTTCCTTTATGACCTGGATTGAGGTTGTTCTCTTCCAGGGAGTTTCTGCTTTTGCTGCAGCCCAGTATCTCAGGTGCATTAGAAACCTGAGTCCATTTTTACGTTAATTTTTAAACTTGGGGTTTCAAGATTCCATAGGTAGCTCATATTTATACTCAAAATTCATATGAGGACAGGCCTATGAGGTATCACGTTAGCTTTGTACCCCCCAACCAGAGTACAGGCTGTGACAAACACGTGGTTTTGTCATCAGTCTTTGCCAGTAGGCAGAATAATTTTTATTCTAAACTACTTTTTGAGTAAAGAGATTCCGCCTTCATGGGTTTTCCCTTCAGCTCCTAGCCTCACAGCCTCTTCTTCTAACTCCCTGAATTCCAAGGTTGATATAAAACCCTAGGAAAGCTTAACTTTTATTTTTCGGTTTTCTTTTAACAGAATTATCCTTATTTTCTTGTGAATTTGGCATTTCTAACAAGTTTTTCAGAATATTTCGAATACCATACGTATTACTAGAAATGGAAGTCCCTAGGAAGGGTCTTGATAATTCCCAACTAAAGGGAAAGGGGGAAGGAGAAACAATGGCTGAGGTTATAGAAGTGGTGGCCCAGCTCATAAACCACCCTCTTATTTGGCTTGCAGTTCCTTCGAGTGGAGGAACGAGAGCTGGGGAGCCCATACACAGGACCTGAAGCCCTAAAGAAAGGCCCTCTGCTCATCAAGAAGGTGGCTACCAACCCGGGTCCCAAAGCCTCACCTCAGGACGAAGGCCCTACAGATTTGCCATGTCCCCCAGACTCTGCTTCTGAAACTAAGGACACAACCAAGATTACCACAACCACCACCAGTGCTACCACTGCTGCCACCGTTGCCACTGAGCCCACACCCCAAGAGACAGGCCCAGAGCCCAAAGGCAAGGACAGTGCCAAAAGGTTCTGTGAGCCCATGGGGCAGAAGAAGAGTTCAACCACCATCTTCCTGACTGTCCCAGGCCCCCACTCTCCAGGACCCATCAAGTCACCCAGACCCATGAAATGCCCGTCTTCCCCATTCCCATGGCCGCCCAAGAGGCTGGCTCCCAGCATGTCCTCGCTCAACTCCCTGGCCTCTTCCTGCTTTGACCTGGCAGATATCAGCCTCAACATTGAGTATGCACCTCTCTGCTTAATCTTTTCTAAAATCGCCTGTATGAAAAACACCTCACTGGATGGAAAAGTAGATATGAACTTACATTTCTGTACAAGTTCTGTTTTTCCACAAAATTTCTTCGTAAGAGGCAGCATGGTGTGGTAGAAAGAACACAGGACAAGGGAGAGAGACCCAGACAGGCTGGTTATGGCTCTAGCTACGTACTGACTGTAAAGTAGATGCTGGACTGTGGTTGGTAAGGTCCCTTCCAGCAGAACCATTTCCTGATTCTAAAGAGTTATACTGGGATGATATGTGAAGTTTAATATGCAGTATTATGTAATAAATGGCTGTCATTTATGAAGGGTTTACTATGGGCTTAGCATGTTATCTGATTTAATTCAACTTTCACAATAACCCTACAAGATGGAACTTATAAAAGTTGAATAAATTCATTCAAGGCCCCCAAAGGAATCATAATACAAAGGCAGATCCCACTTCAGGGTTCCCATTCTTCCTACCGTAAAGTAGGATAACTATACATGAATGCTGGATGGAACTAATTCCAACAGAAAGTAAACTCACGGCAGATTATCCCACATGGCTCTATGCTCCTCAAGCAGGAATGCTGCTTTGTCTTTGGGGGTTGCGGAAGAGGGCCAATGCTTGTTACTGCAAGAGAAGTGATGTGCTCTTTCTTTACAGAAGTGGGGACCTCAGGCGGCGGCAGCTGGGCGAGATTCAGCTCACAGTGCGCTATGTGTGTCTGCGGCGTTGCCTCCGCGTGCTCATCAACGGCTGCAGGTAAAGAGATTCTAGGGCCAAGGAGGTTCTTTGGGAGCATCAGGTGACCATAAATCAGAGTAGGGACACTCAGAGCAATGAATAGGGCACAGTCCCAAGATAAAGAACACTTTGGGGAAAATAAAGGAGAGAGACTTGAAACCCTGAACATTGTAACAAAGTCCTTAAAGGGGCACTTTGGCCGTCATTCTTTAGTGGTGCTGACAGGCTCAAGAGCCAAGGGCTTTGCTCAGATGCAACCACTGCAAGACTGTCTGGAGTGGCTGGTAGCCAGTACATTTTCCAAGTGAGAATCTCGAACTTCCATCCAGTACTTGCTCTACCCCAAGCTTTATAATAAAGATGCATGATTTCAAAACCATGCATCTGATACTTTGTCCCCTAAATTCTACAGACTTTTGACCATCAGGACTACTGAGCATTTTTGTCCTCAAGGGTATCTAATGCTGAATGGCTAATATAACCTTCTCCCAAATGAGTATTTTCAGTGTGTGAAAACCAGGGGCCTTTTTTTCCCTAATGTCTTTGACACCAAATCAGAAACCTGACACCATGTACCAGCAGTGGAGCTGATCCCTACGTCCGTGTATACTTGTTGCCAGAAAGGAAGTGGACATGTCGTAAGAAGACTTCAGTGAAGCGGAAGACCTTGGAACCCCTGTTTGATGAGACGTAAGTGGGCTGGTGGCCTGCCTAGAGTGCCTCATCTATTTGAGTATTTGTCAAGTCCCTGTTACGTTGCCTGATAGCCTGCCAGATGCCAGAAGGCTGAACAAGAGAACATAGTCTGTGACTTCATGAAGCTTCTATATTGTAGTGGAAAAAAAGGAGTACCAGGGAAGTTTATCAAAATGGCTTCCTAATTTACTGCCCATAGAGCCTAAAGTGTTCGTGAATATGGAATGTTCTCTACTCTTTGTTTAAAGTAAGTCTCTCTGGTACTAAAAAGGTTAGAATCTGTTCAAAATTTTTTTTTTTTTTTTTTTTTTTTTTTTTGAGGCGGAGTTTTGCTCTTGTTACCCAGGCTGGAGTGCAATGGCCTGACCTTGGCTCACCACAGCCTCCGCCTCCTGGATTCAAGCAATTCTCCTGCCTCAGCCTCCTGAGTAGCTGGGATTACAGGCATGCGCCGCCATGCCCAGCTAATTTTTTGTATTTTTAGTAGAGACGGGGTTTCACCATGTTGACCAGGATGGTCTCGATCTCTTGACCTCGTGATCCATCCGCCTCGGCGTCCCAAAGTGCTGGGATTACAGGCTTGAGCCACCGCGCCCGGCTCAAATATTTTTTTAATCCATTTTAATTCTAGCAGTTAAAAATAAACATTCCTTGAACCTAAGGACCTAAAGTTTCCTCTAAAGCTTGAAACTCTTTGGCCTGTCTTCCCTCCTGCAACTAAACATAGGTGGCAGATGGAGCAGATGCCCTCCCCTTCTCCACAAAGGCTTGTCCACTGTGTCCTTGGGGACAAGGGTGACTCTAATCACATTAATTGCTTTTGATGGGCCATTGGTGGCAATTCTTTTTTTTTTTTTTTTTTTTTTTGAAGACGGAGTTTCGCTCTTGTTACCCAGGCTGGAGTGCAATGGCGCGATCTCGGCTCACCGCAACCTCCGCCTCCTGGGTTCAAGCAATTCTCCTGTCTCAGCCTCCTGAGTAGCTGGGATTACAGGCACACACCACCATGCCCAGCTAATTTTTTGTATTTTTAGTAGAGACGGGGTTTCACCTTGTTGACCAGGCTGGTCTCGATCTCTCGACCTCGTGATCCACCCGCCTCGGCTTCCCAAAGTGCTGGGATTACAGGCTTGAGCCACCGCGCCCGGCCTGGTGGCAATTCTTATCCCAAATATTTTTATTCTTAGAAGTCTGAATCTCATTAGCGCATACTTCTGCTTCAGGGTTCTAAAAAGACATTTCTAGCCAGCTTAGTAAAATACTACATCTCATAATTATCCTGATCAATAACTTTTTTAAAAAGGGTTACACTGAGTCCTCTTTGGGCCATGTCTAAGAACTAATATGTTCCTTTGAGAGCTATGCTTTGAGTTCATCAGTGTTAAGGAAAGGGTGTGGGGAAGAGAGACTGTTCATTCAACATTTACTGAATGCTTTATGCTAGGCACTGTCCTATACTCTAGAGCCATACAAGTAAGAGATTTTGCCCTCAAATGGAGTGTTAACATAATTATAAAAAGATGTAAAAACTGTGTTTTGGTAACTACTATGTGGCTAAGGAATTTTAAAAAATTATGTGGAAACATAGGAGGGAAAAGGCTTAACATTTGACTTTTGTGACAAACCTAAATCTGTTAGTAATTCGCAAATGTATGACAGTCAAGATAAGCTTGGATTGTCTGGAAGGCAGAGTTGGCAACCTCCACCCTAAAAATAAACCTAAAAGAAAGAGGGTTCCTCTGCCTTACGCCACAGGAGGTGGCCACTATTTTCCATGCAACTAGAGCAAACCTAACTGTTCAGTGTTCCAGCCCTTAGCTGGTAAGAAAACACTGAGAGGGGGGTTGAGGCAGTCCTACGAGCAGGTAATATTTGGGGTGAGGACAGCCAGCTAAAAGAGTGGTAGCTGGGGAAGAACTGGAGAAGGAAAGATGCCAACTAAGCCACAATAGTCTGAGGCATTCTAGGCAAACAGCCTCTTAGTATTTCTGGGTTTTATGAACAACACAGGACAGCGATTATCTGTGGTAATGATACACTGTGAGTACTTACAAGCCAGTCCTGCTCTAGGTGCTCCTAATAGCCTGTTATCATCTATTTTAGTAGGGAAATGGATGAAGCACTTTAGATTTTCAAGAAAACTGAATGAAATACGAAATTCTAACTTCCTGACTTTCTGCTTCCTGAAGATTTGAATTTTTTGTTCCCATGGAAGAAGTAAAGAAGAGGTCACTCGATGTTGCAGTGAAAAATAGTAGGCCACTAGGCTCACACAGAAGAAAGGAGTTAGGAAAAGTAAGTACAAGAGATATTTGATACACCAATGAGGCTATGATCAATTCACTTTATCCCAATTCCTTTCCTTAATGCAGTGTTTTGGAGGGGAACTAATTACTTGTGTTTATTTAGGTACTGATTGACTTATCAAAAGAAGATCTGATTAGGGGCTTTTCACAATGGTAAGTGTGCCCTCTCATTTTATCACTATTAGCCTGCTATTCAAGACAGTTTTCCCTTTCAGTACTATTTCCGCTCCTTTGGTTATCAAGAAGGGAGAGACATGAATGCCTTTATTTAAGGCTTTACTGCCTGCAGATTTCACTAACACCCTAAAAGGTACCTGTAAACGCTAGCCTTAACCCTGAACCCTGGCTGGCCCACTTACAGAGAGTCAGGTTATGCTGGTCTCACAGAGGCCCAGGCAGGCAGGATGGGCAGTTTGTCCTGTTACCACAACACACTGTCATTACTAACGTGAAGTCCAAACCTAACTGTTTTACAGGTATGAGCTGACTCCAAATGGACAGCCCAGAAGCTGATGATGAGAATCCTTATCATTCACCTTTATGTTAAAATGTGTATATATGTATTTATTTTTTCTTTTGGATCATGTACATCAAACAATGTCATTTAAATCAGAACAACCACTTGAAATTATATACATACATTCTTGTGTAGAATTTAACTGCATGACTGAATAGCATAAGGAAGAGGTTATTTAAAAGCAAGAACTACTTTTTTTGTTGGATTTTTTTCAAGTCCAGAAAGAAATGATATTTTTGTGCCTACTAAATTATCCAAAACCTCAGTGGTGATTTTTCACTTTTAGTAGGTAATTATATACCATCTGATTTAGGACTTGCCTGAATATATGTATGTACCAGAAAGTGTCCTGCCCCTGGCATAGGAGCTGGGGCAGGTCTGTTTCTAGAGCCACTACCAGCATTCCTGGGAGTGACTGGTTAAAGGGAAACAGAACTGCCAAGAGCTAACACTGCCAAAGCCCTTCTGGCTGCCACCTGTGGTACTTGTCTGCCTGGAGATTTGTTCTTTTATTTGACCTGGAGCTAAAAATGTATTTCCCCAGTGGCAAAAATGTCATGTATTTAAATACCTTGAGTTAAATACTCTTGTGTGGTCTAAGGGCCAAAACTCCAGCATATAGCATTATTTCCATAGGAAAATACAAACCAAGTTCCAAACCCAGGTCTCTGTCTGACTCTCATAGCAAAGCATTGGAGACTGCTGAAGAGTGTCACCATCAGAGAAAAGGCAGCTTTCTGTATCTCTTTCAGATAAGTTTAGGCCATTCTACTTTCTAAAGAGATGTTTGGTTCACCTAAATAACATGTTAAAAGCAAAATACATAAATTATACTTAAGTGCCTTTTTTACATTTCAGACTTTACAAGACCAAATATACTTCCCATACCCTCTAACATTCCTGGACCTCCTCTTCTCCCTTACCGACTCAGACAACACTACCTGCCATCATCAGTTTTCTGTCTCTGCCACTGCCTTCACTGCCACTTTTCTGAACCAGGACAACATTCTAAAACAAAGATTTTGTTACGTTACTCTTATTCCCGTTTTCTGCAGATGTTTTCACGTGCAGATGTTCTATTCTATAATAGTCCAAGTACTATGCTCTGCCTATTCAAGTCTTGTCTCAAACCTATCTCCTCTATTAAGTCAATCCATACTGAAATGACCTCTTCCCACCACCTGTAGCATTTACTGTTGATACTGAGTATTTTCTATTTTAATAGTTCACAGCCTTTATAACACTAAGTTTTAAAAAAACATTGATTAGGGCTGGCCCGGGTGGCTCATGCTTGTAACCCCAGCACTTCAGGAGGCCAAGGTGGGCAGATCATGAGGTCAGGAGTTTGAGACAAGCCTGGCCAATAGGGTAAAAACACAAAAACTAGCCAGGTGTGGTGGTGCATGCCTATAGTCCCAGCTATTTGGGAGGCTGAAAGCAGAAGAATCGTTTGGACCCAGGAGGTGGAGGTTGCAGTGAGCTGAGATCATGCCATTGCACTCCAGCTTGGGTGACAGAGCAAGACTCCATCTCAAAAAAAAAAAATTGTTATTAGGCACCTGCTAAGGTTACATACAAAGAACAACTTATATTGTATTTAGTATTTAATATTTGTTTACTCTCCAGTTGAACTATAAGATTTGAATTCTTTTTTACCCTCATCATCCAAGACTGGGTTAACTACATAGATGATCCATGATAAAATTTGTTTCTGCTGAGGTTTCTATTTTAAATGGAAAATTCTCATAATAAAATGGAGCATTGATGCCTACCCTATCTACCTCATGACGGCATTCTAATTGCTCCCTAAATAGACAAGTGCCTTGAAAATAGAGAAGCACCAGAGAAATAAGGAAATGTATCATAGACAGATCTGAAACATTAGCAACCAGAGAAATAAGGAAATGTATCATAGACACATCTGAAACATTAGCAACCATAAAACAGCTAATCAAAATGGCAGACAAGTGAAAACCTACCCCTCCTCTTCCAAAGTTAAACCATAAACATTTATTTTAAATATGGTCAATTAAACCATTCTTACCTGTCAGGAAACACAGGTAAATTCCTGGTGTTAGTCCAAAGCGGAGTTAAAATGTAGAAGGGAACCAGAATTTTAATACACACCAGACAGGAGCCAAGGTTATATAGATAGGCCCTGTGTGAGGGGCAGGGAGCCTGAAAACTTGTTAATACCTTGGCTGCCACTGAGGACAAGAATTGGTTTTCAGCAGTGGGTGGAAACAATCAGCTAGTATGCACAGGCATAGGGTCTCAAGTTAACAACAGCTTGGTACAGAAACCCCCAAATCTAGGAAGGAATGTGAATACTGGTTTAACAAACCTGGAACCTGTGAAGCCTCAACAGAGGCAACCATAAAACTGGCCACAGAGCGTTGCCACTCACATCCAGGGCACATGTATGACAACTGCAGCAGATAGCTGTCACTAAAGGGAAACCCATGGGCAAAAATTATGAAACCAAACAGTCTTACAAAAATATTAAGCGTGCAGGAATATCAAACTGAAAAATAGCCATATTTCAGCAAGAAGGAAAATGTACCAGTAAGGCAGAAATGGCATGTGAGAAGCAGTGGAGAGCAAAGAAATCCATAAAATATTTTGGCAAACCTAAGCAAGTTTTGATTGTTCACAAGATATAAACAAACAACCAAAGATTTTTGCAAGGGTTCAGGAAACACAGTAGAACTAAAATGCTAGTACTAAGAAGAGGCAGCTAGGATGATTCAGAAGAAAGTATTCAAGACCATACATTATTTAGGAAGCTAAAGATATTTATCTTAAAAATATAACTGTGTGTGAGTCAGTAGCAAATTACCTCTCAGCTTCAAATTGACGTCTGTCTCCTCTCCCCTTCTCAGTGGGCTTGATGTTTGGCTTTGCCAATAGGGGGCGATGGAAGGACACTGCAAGGCCATAGCAGGAAGAAGAGGCTTTTCTTCTGTTTTCCATGGTTTTCCATTGGTGTATAGAGCTGTTCTCAATTACCTAAGCGCACCCCACAGTTTACCCTTGGCTCATGCTCTAAGAACCATGGCCTTTATGTTTTATCAGCAGATACCACCTCTTGGCAAGTTTCTTAGTCACAAATGGTTTGCGCGTTCCTGTGGCAGCCAGAGGTCTAAATCTCAGCCTGGTAGGGAGGCACTTAGCTAGTTTCTAACTTCCTTTCTTGTTCTCTCTCCCTTACCCCTGGGGGAAAGCACCTGCATCCCAAAGTTGATATTCTGTATCCCCTAGAGTCCACTTCTACCCCTTTTAGTAGTAAACACAAGAATTGCTAACTAGTAAAAGGTGATTAAGCTTTTCATGTTTCGTTACCTGTGCAATATGGTTTCTGTCTCCTTAGTATGTGTTCAAAATTGCAAAATAACTATGAAAATAAAGTAATAGTAGAAAGCCAATAAAGTTGATACGTAAAACTTCCAAATTAGCAGTGGAGGAGAAAAAGTTAAAGAAAAATCAACCCTGCAAAAATGGGAATAGAGACATAATTAGACAATACAAAGATGGTCAAAAGCTTTCTAAATGTATTTGTAATTACAACAAACACTTAAAATCTAGAATGTCAAATGGAATAAAAGTCAAAAGCAGTTACATGCTGTTTATAAGAGGTTCATGTCAAACACAGAAATGCTGAAAGTAAAAAGATGAAAAAGTCCATCCAAGAATCATTTAGATTTGTTTATAATAATGGCAGCAAGCATCATATTAAGAAACAGCTGCTTCCTGTTATCACTTCTATTCAACACTATATTGCAGCCTGAGTAATAGGCCAAAAATAGGTATATCTAACCAGAACCTTTATGTGCAGATGATATGATCATGAGCATGAAATCCAAGGTAATCTAAATTGCTAGAATTACCCAGAAAGTCTTTGGCAAGGTTGCTTGAATCAATGTTTTAAAAAACTGTAGTTCTGTTCCCTAACAGAAAATAAAATTATAAGTGCACAAAATATCAAATTCTATGAATACATTCAACAATCCCTATAGGAAAACCGTAAAACTTTTTAAAGAAATGTTAAAGTAAATCTAAAGAAATGGAGAGCTATGCCATGTCTGAAGTTGGAAAACCCAACAAATGCTATATTTCTTCAAATTAATCTATTTAATGAAAGCCCAATAAATGAACAGGTTGTATGTATGTGTAACTTGATAGGCAGATTCAATATACACGGAACTACAAAGGGTAGAAAGCCTTCAACTGAACACCAAGGTTCATTTTCAAGCTGTAATAACTAAGACAGAATGGTACTAGTGCAGGGAGACAACTGGGCCAAAAGAACAGAGAAGAGCCCAGAAACAGACCCATTCACAGATAGGTACTCAATTTATGACAGAGGCAGCACTGTGAACAAAGGGAATAGACTTTTCGATAAATGGTGCTGCGACATTGGATATTCATGTGAGAAAATATGAAATGACCCTTTATTATCACATTCAAAAATCAATAAACTCCAAGTGTATTAGACTAAGTGTGTGAAGCAAAACTACAGCTTTAAGATAATACAGGAAAATAATTTCACAACTTGTGACTGAAGCAAGATTTTGTAAGATGCAAAGAGCACTGACTAAAAGACCCATACATCTCTCCATGAAAATTAGGTACTTCTGTTCATAAAAATAAACTATAGCCCAGTGCGGTGGCACACACTTGTAGTCCCAACTACTTGGAAGGCTAAGGTGGGAGGGACCACTTGATCCCAGGTGTTCAAGGCCAGCCTGGGCAACATAGTGAGAGCCCATCTCTTAAAAAGAAACACTATGGGAAAATGGAAAGATATTTCACAGAATAGAAGAAGACATTTGTAACACACATAACTGTCAAAGGGCTCATGTCCAGAATATATAAGTAACTTTTACAAATTACTAGGTCAATCCGATAGAAAAATGGGCAAAAGACAGAAGCACTTCAAAAATGACATGCAAAAGTCCAATAAACAAAAGTTGCTTAACTTCATTAGTAATCAGGGAATAAATATTAAAAGTACAATAATAGCTCTATACATTGGCAAAAAGGATGTGGAAAAGTGGGAGGTTTCATACATTGCTGTGGGAGGAGTATAAATGGGTACAACCATTTTGGAAAATAGTTTTTCATTTTCTCCTAAAGTTGAAGGTACAAATTCCCTACCAAAGTTACCACTCTGTACGCCTCCAGAAGCTTCACTCGCATTGTTATCTGTAGAAATGCTACTGCCTCAAGTTGTACAGTAGTGCATGGCCTATGTGGCTATACACATTTCCCAATGTTTCCCCTATGACCCAGTTGTATATATCTCAGTTCTGGATATATACTCTAGGAAACTTGCATACAAGCGCATGACGATGCACGTTGATAGCAGCACTATTCACAGTAGCTAAGAACTGAAAATGACCCAAATGTCAACTTAGACAAATGAACTGCGAAATATTCATAGATGGAATACTATATAGCAAGAAAACAAATGACCTAGACCTAACAAAAACAACATGGATGCACAGTATAAACAATACTGAACAAATTAGAAATATTTTTAATATATGCAATATTCCAGTTTTATAAAAACAGTCAAAACTATATTGGCTTAGGCATACACACACAAAAAAGTGGCAGAGCTATTTGGAAAAAAAAAAAA